TCGCGCAACCGAAAGCATCTTTTGGAACGTAACCACGAATTGCTTTTTAAGCAAACATTGAATACTGAGCCATTCTTTGTACTGAATTGTCTAACACTCGAATATTCACGGCCATTCAAAGCTCGCCAGCCTCAAAATGGTGGCACAGCTTTTATACATTAAAAGTGTAATTACCAGTCTGGACACCTACATAGTTTAAAATCTCAATTAGTCTGGTCCAGACTAATTGTGCTGGATTCCCAATCCAGACTAAATATACCATCTATTAGTGTGAATTGAACTGCGCTTGGTATCTATAATTCCGGAGAGGCTAGCTGTAGACAACAACACTTGAATGCATGCAGCGGATTCAGGGATGATGCATGTAGTGTTGCGCACGCGTGTGGCGCGTACGGAATCAATACATGTTTTCAGCAGGGTGTTGAAAGATTATTAAAAAAAAATATTCTCGAAACAAAGAGTATTTTATCACAAGCTGCTTCCCTGGGCTTGCAGCTTTCCAACTATTTTCAGTCTTTGTGTCTGGCTGGGTGAACAGGTTGCATCCGACAAATGCCATCTTTCCTGGCTTATTTCTATACACTACATATCTGTGGCAGCTTTAATTATTTAACATCAGTAAAATAAAAAGAAAATGAGTCGGTTGGTTCGGTGCGGTGCAAGTTATTAATCAGCGATCAGCTAATAAGAAATTGACTTGCTACTGCACAATTTAGACTTCCTAGCAAAAGCTTGTGCTTTCTCTAGAAGCTATAGCGTGTTGTGTGTCAGTTATCGAAGGGATTGGATGGCCTCCTCTGCGTTATCCGATACGCAGGACATCAAGAGAAATGAGAACAATTAAAAAGAGCCAAGAGATTGTCACTCTTCCTCGGCCGTGGTATCTCAAATAGTAATACGCTCCAGACGGCGATAGAATGTGGGTTCCGGATGATTCGCGGTATACAACCTCAGGTCAAATATCCCTCTATCATCTTGTTAGTAGTTAGTGAAATGAAAAGCTGCATTATCACTTATCAGCAAGTACCATAGTTAATCTAGGCCTGACTAATTTCGGATCGGACTTTCGAGACCCACGATCACAGTTTCAGTCTTATTGGGCACCCAAACTATACGCGAGCCGCTACATACTATTACAGACAATCCTTGGCTGTAATAGCTTGAAAAACCGCCATATTATCACAAACTGGGGTTATTTCAATCACGAGTGCACCAGTTCAATGGTTCAACCTGATCGCAAGGCTGGTTTGTGTGATGGCGGGGTTTGTTTAGTATAATTCGAGAATTTGTTTAATGCGTACCTAAAATCGTCCTATTCCTAAAGATGTGGCCTAACGATGGATTCCAAAAACTTAGCCTAAAACAGTGTGTAAGACGCGACAGAACATGCAAAACACATGCATTTACTGTCCAAACACACAGCAAATCATTTGTCTTGGCTAGAGTATACTTTTGACCTCCAATGCGTCGCAATAAGGCATAATTGAGTCTCACAGGTAGTAGCTACGCTCCACAGTTGCGCAGCGTTTGCATCGCCAACTTCGCTTCGCTCGTGGCGGGCAAGGATCCCGCGCGGATTAGATTGTAAGTTCTTGTTTCGGAACCTACTCCGGCCTACGCGCCGTCGCCTGACAGACCTCCGCTGCGCTCCGGTTGTCATGGCGCCTCTCTAAGGCCTCATAGCGCGGCTATGGTCATCCACGTCGCCCATCCTTCTGTGTGAAAGAACTAGTTTTTTGTATGTCAGTACTTTTTCTCTCTTGGTAGTCCTAATATTAATGGCCTAACGCTGACCTAAGCGTGTGTAACATCCACAATATGTTTAGGCCAATTTATTAGGAATAGGACGCTTTTGGGTACGCGTTAATTTTCCCCGATTCGAATGCTGCGATACAGTACCAGCATGGATTAGCGACTGTGTGCACGAGTTCAGTGCCTCCACAGACACATGGCTAGCCAAGTTTGAAAGTGGAGGAGGCCTGTCAATTTTCCTATTACCCCACCTGCAGATATGTGGCTACCACGCTGAGAACCCGTCTATCAACCAAATGATGCTGAGAGCAGCAAAA